CTATTCAGAATAGGGGGGGGGGTAATATCGAGTTACGCAATAATATTTTGGGGTAATGGTTAAAAAAGTTCCCCGACCGCTGATCTAATGGAACTAATGGTAAATTGTGAGATATTCATGTGAATCATGTAAAAAAGACTGATGCAACGGCAATAGATTGAAGTTATAGCTAGATGCATGTATTTATATATTGTCTTGGTATCGAATAAACATGGGGCATGGGTGGATTTTCCTGGTTGCGTGTGTTTAGTTTGTGAAAGAGGCAATCATAGCGAGATGGAACACCCGTGTAAATCCCCTTTGAGACCCACCGCCGAGCCATGCTCGCGCATTCTTCGCAATCCAAATGAAAAGGACGCAAAAGAACCATCGATGAATGTTTCGTATGAAAACGCTCTCGAATAAAACTGGGTTTCTCGTCGAAAAGACCATAAATTATTTTGCACCTCTTCGCGTGGGTGTGACACAATATAACCAGATAAGTAGCAAACTGCAATAATTGTTGCTGTAAATGACCCGACGGCCTCGAGATGAGGAAAAATTCTCAACCACCTGGAAGAGTAAGAAGAATAAGAATTTGCTGGAGGAGACGCTGGTACTTCAGCCATTGCTGGTAGGAGAGAAGAGATGAGAGGAAAGACGAACAAAGCCGCATTCTATCGTTTGCAGATATCAAGTTTAATCTCGAGCACATACACACACACTCATCCACACGCAAAAACTAATTAAGCTTAAGGTGGAATTACCTAATCAGATCTTGCGGTTTTTCGGATCTGTTTATCGTATTATTCGGCGGATAGAAACTAGATATCTTCGAATCTTGTGTGCTGTTCGCACGTGTGTATGTGTATATATATATAGTCTTAGCTCTCAGAATGGGAATCCAATTTTATACCTCATCAATCATAAATCTATTAGCGGTTACTTGATTGTTGCGGTGTGCATGAGGCCTACACAATATAAATAAGTTATATACAGAGCGAAAGAACAACAAAATGTATGGAAAAAAAACCCGTCGTAGAAAGAACACGTATCTTGTTAAGGATGTTGGGCGGCAGAAGTGTTATTGATATAATTTCAAATTGAATCTAATTGTTACCACAAACACATTAGTGTTTACATATTATTCCTTTGAAACTAATAAGTTTGAATCAAATCATTTGAACAAGGTGTGTTTAAATGAATATGTTCAGAAAGTTTTCTCTTTGTAATAATTGAACTATCTATTATAATACACTTATCGAAACGAGATGAAAATCTTTTGCAACAAATCACTGCAATTACTCAAAACGGTAGAGAGATTCTCCGTAAAGCAGCAGAGTTAGTTATGTTAGGGATGCGCAAGAAATATGACACTGTTAGTGATCCTTTTGATCAGGTGATACGGCCAAACCGCTTGACCGTTTGATGCGCTCGCTGGGAGCCAGCGGCATTCCTAATTAGTTAAGATAAATCATGTTAATTAAAGAAACGATAATTTTCAGTTATAACGATGGTTATTAATCAAAGCCACGATGGCGCACGTTTAATAACTTCATGAGGATGAGAAGACGCACAGAGGTTCCCTCATCCCATCATAATCACCAACCCCTTGGATAAAACGTCGACAGGTGGCAATTAATTCAGCAAGTCTCTTCTTCGACGGAGATTGGGTTTTCCTCGAGAACCGTCGAGATTGTAAATCATGTGGACACTGCTTTCGGTTCTCTTCTAATTTGTATGTAAAACGGATTAGCACTTTCTGTCGCATCGGAAAAATCACTTCCTTTCGTCCTGATTTACGACCTGCCGCAGATTTACGGCCGATCGCTGTATTTTTACTACCGATTGTTTCAGTCTTTGCTGTGGTTCCAACAACAGTACTATTAACTTCGATCAATTCTACAAGCTTTATATTCATTCATGATTGGTATTTAATTCTCCAGTCTATTCAGCTTTGTCGCTAATGATTCAAATATGCAAATCGACCTCCTGCAATATGTTGATACCATATTTATTACACTGCAGCAACTTCCAGTATATGTGTGTAAATACAT